AATTCCTGCACACAATTCCCACTCTGTTCCACCTCATACAGTTACTTCTTTACACTGCTGAACTCTCTGCTCTATACTATACTAAAAATGTGGCACTCTAGATGTGAACTAAATTTGAAACTATCCAAAAATTTTAAATAAAACCACTGCAAATCAATTTAGGTTTTACTTATGGTCAAGGTCTTGAAAAAGCATAATATCAGATGGTCTGCTTTACATAAATCACGTTAACTTATCTTTATTGTTTTCCGTGATAGAGTATTTAATGGAAAGTTCAATTCGTTTTAGCCATAGGGTTTATTCAGCAAGTCAGAATTTAAAAGTGTAATTCTCTTTTCCAAACGATCTTATTACAGATTTTGAAGGACCAATCACAACAACAACAATAAAATTACATTTGTATAGGGAGGTCGATGTTGTGCTGGACAGACAGCGTTTTGGACCCGAGCTGGGGGTCAAGTTCGGGTGGAGGACAGGGGATAGGAGGACGATCGAAAGCACGGTCGAAGAAGAGGATGTTGAGATGGGTCTTGAAGGAGGTAAAGGAGGGGGGCAAGGCAGAGGGACTGTGGGATGGAGTTCCAGAGGGTGGGGGCAGAATGGCAGTCTGCTAATGGTGGGGCGGGCGAAGCGGGGAACGTGAAGCAAGCCGGAGCCCATTCAGCACAGGGAGCGGGCAGGATGTTAAGGGGTTTGCAGAGTGGGGGGAGCAAGGCCATGGAGGGCTTTGAAGGTGAGGACCACAATCTTTAACTGTATCCTCTGCGTGATGGGAAGCCAGCGGAGTCAGGCGAGTGTGGAGGTGATAGGGTCACAGAGCCTGGTGTGGGAGAGGACACGGGCTGCAGAGTTCTGGATGATTGGCTGCCGCGTTCGCCCACAAATTTACAGTCAATTCACTTTACAGTGTGTTCTGTGAAGCGCTTTGGGACGTCCTTCCGACGTGAAAAGCGCTATATCAAATGCAAGGATTATTATTATTATTATTATTATTATTATTATTATTATTATCTACAGCCTATGGAGGGAGGAGTTGGGGAGGCCGACAAGCAGGGAGTTTGTAATCAAGCTTCGATGTTATGAATGCGTGTCTGAGGGTTTCGCCGGCCTGTGGTGTGAGACAGTGGCGGAGCGGGACAATGTTGGGGGAAGGCAGAGCGGGTCATGGCACGGATGTGGGTTAGAAAGGATAGTTAAGGGTCAAACAAGATGCCAAGGTTCCAGACTGGCTTAGCAAGGTGGAGTGTACATCCATGGATGGTGAAGCTGTCACAGTGTCTGAGGTGTGGAGGCGCTGATGGGAGCTAATCATGGGATCCTTGGTCTTGTTGTCATTCAAATGTAGAAAGTTAGCTGTCATCCAGGACTTGATGTCTGACAGACATTCTGTCAGGACAGCAGTGGTCCTGGAGTCAAGAGATTTAACTTAATCACAGCATGACATCCATATTCTTTCAGTCTGATCAACAAAGTATAGTTCACATAATCCACTTACACATAAACGTGTTAGTTATGTCAGCATTTCAACTCTATCCATCAGCAAGATCACTGACACAATGATGACTAAATAACCATTAACAGTGAAATCAGGCGTTAAATTCACAAATTAGTGGACCTGGTGGAAATCACAAGAACCTTCAGTGTAGCCAGAGGTTCACAGCTGAACTAGTAATGCAACCAGATGTATCATCTGGCCATTATCCTCACTCCCAGTAGCTGAAGGACTGGTAATCACAGGGGATAAGGAATTACAGAAACTGCTGCGTTAATGCATTTTGCACCCTTATTAGTTATACATGTAAAATATGTAGAAGGGTGCAAAATGCATAATATTGTACATGTATACCTGTGTAAATTTATGAGTACATATGACAAAAAGTTAATGGTTGCTGAGTGTTATCTGTCACCCTGACACAGTGTGTATATGAAAAGTTGAAAAATGAACAAAATGGGGAAAAAACAAAAAGTTACAACCACACTGACTTCAATTACAGACAAAAGGCTTGTGCTCCCAAGCAGTTGTCTTCAGAGTCACTTTCTGCTTTTATATATCAGTAGTCAGGGTTCCAAATAAGAAAATAATCAGCTTTAGAGCATCTGAACCCAGAAACCCAACCGATCCTAAACTTAAATCATCCAAATATCACTAAGTTTTTTGATCATTATTCTGATAAGTGATAATAATAATAATCCTTGTATTTGATATTGTGCTTTATCACATCTTCAAGACATCTCAAAGCACTTCACAAAATATACTGTAAAGTGAATTGGCTGTATATTTTGTGGGAGAAACACAGCAGCTAGTTGCATACAGCAGTGTTCCACAAACAGTCATGGATTGAAGTAACCAATTTTTTTTGAAGGAATTATTACGGAAAAGCGATACGCCAATCAACTAACAACCGGGTTCCTCCTCACTGCTAGGTAAACAGAGGCATGTGGAGTAAGGAAACTTGCCCAACATTTTGCCCTGCCGGGAATCGAACCCAGGTCTCTCGCTTGCGAGGCGAGTGCTCTAACCACTGAGCTACAGCACTTTACATAACCTTCTCAATCAGCTAAAATTGTTTCTCATAACCAAACTGCAAATGAAATGAAACTGGAACAAAATGTCCCGTATGATATTGCACATAATCATCAGATGGATCACTAGATGGACCCACTGGTCTCTAGTTGTTTATTTTATCTAAAATCACATGCACACGTTGAGTCTATAAACATATACACTGTGACTAGACAATTGATTCATTATGACTATGGGTCTCTACCTCACACGCAAGTTGGTTGGTCTTATGTCACTATTCTTAATTCATTTTCTACTTACAGATTCACATAACAACAACAATAACTTGCATTTGTACAGCGCACATCACATGGGGCAGTGTCTAGGAGTGCTTAACAACAACAACAAGATTCCATTTATAAAGCGCCTTTCACGTCAGGAGGACATCCCAAGGCGCTGCACAGTTGGGTCATGACCCGAGCAGGGGGGAAATGGTCAGGGGGAGGGGAGGGAGCGAGGAGGGGGGAAATGGTAAGGGTGAGGGGAGGGATGGGAGGGAGCGAGAAGGGGGAAGAGAGTCGAGAGGGGAGCTGAAGGCTCGGTCAAAGAGAAAGGTTTTGAGACCGGCCTTGAAGGAGGAAAGGGAGGAAGCAAGGCGAAGGCACTGGGGATAGAGTTCCAGAGCCTCGGGGCTGAGAGGCTGAAGGCCCGACCACCAATGGTAGGGCGATTGGGGCGGGGGATGTGGAGCAGACCGGAGCCAGAGGAACAGAGGGTACGGGCAGGTAGGTAGGGGGATAGTAGGTTGGAGAGGTAGGAGGGAGCAAGGCCGTGAATGGCCTTGTAGGTGAGGATGAGGATCTTGAAATCAAGAGTGGCAGAGCCTGACACCGAGCCAGGGGGAGGGTGGAGGTGACCATAAGCACGGACAAAGGAAATGTTACCTGGGAGGAAATGTCTGCGGGAGCAAATGGATGATATTACCGCTAATGACAATTTTCATAATTTCTTATGTATTATAAACCTTCCTCACTATAATACACATAGGTTTATGGTGCTGGATAAAATCAAGAACTAAAGCTAAAATAGTAATCATGCTGTTTACATGCTGTTTACAAAGTCACAAATTACCTAATCAGCTAAAACTGCCTTTCCAGTTAGGACGGTTTTCCTTTCAGAGTTGAATTCTAAAATCTCATTGGTGATCTAGACAGATTGGTCAGTAATCAATGCATTGAACTCCTATGGATACATCAACCAACACAGCAGCCAAGTTAGGAGGAATGAACCACCCATGGGAGGGAATAAACAGGCAGAAGCCATATCTTCACCTGCCTCCTAATTGTGAAAGCCCATGGTATATATAGGAGGTTCAAAATAAGACCAATTTAGATGTATAGGAGACAAATTGGATGAACGATATATTTATATAGCACCTTTTACATTGGGAGAATATCTGAAAGTAAGTGACTCAACCGACTGGATTTAGCCGTGAAAGGAAAAGGCAGTTAAAAGCATAGTCAAAGAGGTCATTTTAAAATGGGTTTAGAAGCCACTGGTAGGAGGGCAACTTGGAAAGACTCTGGGATGGAGGTTCACCACGAATAGTAAGATAAAGCAGTGGAAGGAACTGAAAGCAGACTGGTGTTTTGTGAGCAAAATGAACAGCCAATGTGGTAGGGTTCAAGCGACATAGTTTCTATGGAAAATTTAAATTGACAGATTGATAGCAACAGATGCAAATTCAACGACGATTCCAAATCGTTTGACTTTTAAGGTTCGTCTCAACATAGACATTTCAAAGTCTCCAAATCTAAACAGAACCCTTGTTTAGTACAATATAGGATTTATAAAATAGTGAATAGCTATTCAGTTTATAGAACTTGACAACACGGCAACGAGTTATTTATAAATCGGCAGCTTTTTAAAATCTCACTCAATACTTTTCTTCTTCTGATGTTTACTGCAAAAGGTAAACATAAGAGGTTTTATTATAATATAGTGGTTGGAACCAATCAAATCCGGTTGAACCACTGTTATCTAAAGCAGATTTAAATTGGACTTTTCAACCTCTTAACAAGGTGAAAATTCATCATCTCAGCAAACCTCATTCGTGCGTGAGAGCACATTTTTTCTGACAAAAATAACTCTTTACTCGACTTCACTGTATCACTCAGGGCCACTGAAATAAAACACTGATCTGCTATTTGAATAGTCCTTCTTAGTCAGTTTCCACTTAAACCGAATCATTCCTGAGCAGTTTACCAATGAGTTGGCTGATCTTTATTCCTGCCCAGTCAGCAAAGGAATATCCGAAGTACAAGTTTTGCAACTCAGTGCAGTTTCTCCAGACTGCCCCCGGCCTCTGCATCCCTTCTGCGCTTCAAGACATTTGTTAATCATAAAACCGCTCCCCAGATTATCGGACTTTTGACTCCACAAATGAACCGAGAAATCTTCAATTTCTGACCAATAGCTTGGATCATCGTCCACCGCCTTTCACTCCTTGCAGCGCTATGGCGGCTGAGCTGCTGATCAAGGTATACATTTTTTAAATGTTGCGTTTTCGATCAGCAATATATATATACTCACATGTAAATATCGTCAATGTAAATATCGATCATTCATTATGTCGAGGGAGATATTTCGTTTTGGGGCATCAAATTTAAATCTAGTTAAGTGTGAGTGTGGGATAAAGCATCTTGTGAGCCAACTGGGGATAAGATTGAGGCAGTCAATGCGTTTTTACTTTATCTAAAGGGTTGTGGAAGGGTACAGTGTGACATTAGAGGGAACTTTAAACATCAAAAATATCATTACAGATTGACGCCTGCGATTTTATCAAATCATGTGTATGCTATATTTGCACTCTGTACCAGGATAATAATCCAACTCTACCATTAGTTAATGTGAGAGTCACCAAACCTATCCCTCGGCAAAGTGTGTGGGAAGGTAAGGCAAGGTTGTCTCCTGTCACCTACCTTCTTCGTCAATGGTGTATTAGGTGGCATTGAGAGGGATGGACTTTTTGCATATGTGCCAGGCATTTTCGGGTAGAATTGTGGCCTTCCGGTGGCAGAGGATACTGTCCCGATGGAAAACTCACTGGGCGAGGTTCTTGTGTCCTACATTCACCACCTCGACCACTGGGCCACTTAGTGGGACTTGAAGGTGGGTGCCCCAAGTGTGTTATTGTAACTCTGTAGGCCTTGAGAAGGGACCTTCAGGTTATTGATTGAAAGATACAAGAGGATTCCATCCCAATTACTGATCTATATGGGTATCTGAGGGCAGTGGTGGACTCTAAACTTTGCTTACACTCTTCTTCAGCACCACACCGAGAAGGGGTGAAGGACAATTTGTTCATTCTCTTTTCTCTTTAATGATAGCAAAGCCATAATTCGATTCATTAGGGCAGCAATTCTGGAGTTCCAAATGAGAGTGAACCGCGCGGCTGATTAGGATAGAGAGAGAGAGGGATTGAGAGAGGGGGTGAGTGAGGGAGGGAGAATGAGGGAGAATGATTAAGTGAGAGAGTGTGTGTGTGAGCGATGAGAAACGGGGATTGAGAGAAGAGACTGCGTGAGAGAGGGGGAGCAAGAAAGTGATTAACAGAGAGAGGGAGAGGAAGACTGATTGAGAGAGCAGAGAGTGAGAAGTGGGGGAGAGAGGGGGGGGTGTGTGTGAGGGAGAGGGGAATCTGAGGGAGGGGTGAAGGGGAGAAGAACCATTCAGTGAGAAAGAGGAGAAAGTGTGTGTCAGAGAGAGGTGAGAAGGGGAGTAAGAGATTGTGAGAGGGGGGATAGAGTGATTGAGAGAGGAAGAGGGGGAGAGAGAGATTGAGAGTGTGAGAGAGAATGGGGAGAGAAAGGGGAGTGAGAGAGAGTAATTGCGAGAGGGGGAGAGTGTCGTGAGAGAGCCAGAGGAGAGCGGGAAGAGAGAGAGTGTGATTAGGAAAGAGAGGGTGTGAGAGAGAGAAGTGAGGGCAGCGTTTCGTGGTTCACTGTCACGACAGACGATCCCTCGGCACTTCTCTACGTCCTTCATCTCTCCAACCCCTCTCCACCCCACCTCTGTGACCTCCCAACCGGACTGTTCCCTCTGCCCGCAAATACGGGCTCTGTACTTCATGTCCCCCTCCCCCCCATCCCATCTGCACCACCATCGCTGTTTTGCTCCTGCTCTATAGAGCTCTATTCCCTCCGACTCCCTCCCCTCCTCCTTCAAGGCTCGTCAAGACCTAACTCTTTGACTAAGCTTTGGGTCATCTTTTCCCCTCCCATCGCACCTCCTTTGGCTCCCACCCCCAGCTCAGGCCCGGCCAGCAGTGTTGAGTGTTTTGAGATGTCCTTTCAACATGAAAAAGATGCTGTGGAAAAGTTGTGCAAACTTTGTTTGACTTCCTTTTTTAAAAAATGGACAAAGTGAGTTGCAGTGGCCTGCAGTCAATTCACTTTACAGTATATTCTGCGAACCTTTTTTGAGACATCTTGAAGACACGATAAGGCGCTATATCAAATGCAAAGATTATTATTATTATTAATACTTCTGGTTTCCTTATGAAGTAATCCCATTAGGAAAAACTCGACCTATTAGATGCCAAATGTATAATTTTGAATTTAACTTCTCACCTCACTTGACATGACTTCAAAAACAGATAAATTAATGCGGATGCTTGGAACATATCGTGAAATAATAAACAAAAACAAGTGCAGTACTGGCACAAATTGCAGTTGACACAGATAATCAAACCACATGATTTGGGATGGGGGTGAAAGAAGACATAAGAGATATCTGTAAAATAACTGAGATCACTAGCAGCATTCTTGTGCTTTTTGCTCGGCTCAGCTCCCTTTGTCTTCTACGATTCAGCGTAGTTAAATAGTTCTCTACTTTTTCTGGTGTTAATTTTAATAGGTAAAAAAAATCAAGTTTTTATTTAATAAGTGTTTACCTCAGCATAATGCACACTTGTTAGGTTGCAATGTAATGCACTTCACAGATCATGAAACCATTGTCTAATGTATAAAGGGATTGCTGGCCTCTGCGGCCTTCCCGGTACCTCCCTCCACAAGCTGCAGGTCATCCAGAACTCTGCAGCTCATGTACTGTCCTGCACCAGGCTTCGCGACCACATCACTCCCACCCTCGCTCGCCTCCACTGGCTTCCCATCCCCCAGAGGATCGAATTCAAGATCCTCATCCTCACCTACAAGGCCATTCACGGCCTTGCTCCCTCCTACCTCTCCGACCTACTATCCCCCTACCTACCTGCCCGTACCCTCTGTTCCTCTGGCTCCAGTCTGCTCCACATCCCCCGCCCCAACTGCCCTACCATCGGTGGCCGGGCCTTCAGCCTCTCAGCCCCGAGGCTCTGGAACTCCATCCCCCAGTGCCTTCGCCGCCTCCTCCCTTTCCTCCTTCAAGGCCGGACTCAAGACCTTTTTCTTTGACCGTGCCTTCAGCTCCCCTCTCGACTCTCTACCCCCTCCTCGCTCCCTCCCTTCCCTCACCCTGACCATTTCCGCCCTGCTCGGGTCCTGACCCAATTGTCCAGCGCCTTGGGATGTCCTCCCGACGTGAAAGGTGCTCTATAAATGAAGTCTTGTTGTTGTTGTTTATTCTGAGCACCAAATCTCATAAATCATGCAATTTTTAAAAGGATTATTCTGCTTCAGCTACTTCAGGATCATAATCGTCCATCTTGAAGTGCATCTGTGGTTCAGATATGGATTAGATTCATAATCTGATGAAGCAAAGAATGGAGCATCATCTTTGAATTAGAGTTTGAATCCATAGTTGAAGTGGAGTGGCTTATTTACTGTAACTGGATTTGAACTTTGTTTTATCAGGTCAGCTGATTATTGATTCTAAAATGTTATGGCTAACCAGATTCACCATAGAAGGGCTTTACAGTGTTTTGTAATTTGATATACATTAACTGATAAACGTAGAAGGAATTTCAGCCCATAAAAAGTAAAGTTAATTGCAGTTACTTTCTTTTGAGACTACCCAATGTTTTTGTTGAAATCTCTTTTAAACTTAGCAAGAACTTTTGGTCAAGGTGATTGAACTTGCAGTATTTTACCAGATTTTGTGCATTTATGATAATTACTGTATGATGTGCATGCATAATGTGCACGAACATGTAATACAGTTTGTAGAATCCATTGTAGTTCACGCAGATGCAAAGCAAAGTCGACACATTCTTATTGTAGCAATGAGTCTTTCCTAGTATTGGAAGAGTGAACTGGTAAAAATGTTCAATTTCCTTGATCAGGCATTCTCTTAAAATTGTGGAAATTACAATAATAAGGAGGCCATTCAACTCATCTATGGAGTCCTGTAGATCAGTAGTTAGAGCACTCGCCTTGCAAGAGAGACACTTGGGTTCAATTCCAGGCAGGGCAAAACCGTGGGCAAGTTTCCTTACTCCACATGCCTAATAATAATCCCTCCAAAAAAAAAACAATAATAAATTGGTCATTTTCCATCCACAACTGTTTGTGGGACACTGCTGTGCGCAATTGGCTGCCGCATTTCGCCCACAAATATACAGTCAATTCACTTTACTGCATATTCTATGAAGTGCTTTGAGACGTCTAGAAGACGTGAAAAGCGTTATATCAAATGCAAGGATTATTATTATTATTATCTAGTCTTGGCTGGAGCTATATACTTTAACCCAAATGCATATTCTTGTATTTTCTCTGAGTAAGATTTCTAATTTGTGCAAAATTATGGTCAGATAGCAGAGTGAGAGTTTCATTTCTCAATCTATGTTTATTTCAAACCATGTTCCAGGGTAGCAAGACAATGTGCTTACCATTACCACTGAATCCCTTTTGTAGTTCATTTATAATAATCCACTGCCCCCCTCCCCATGGCAAAATCCACAAAATCTGTGTTCTGGGAAACTAGGAGCTATTTTGATGTGAGACGATAGCTGATCCAACTCTGTTTAAAATCTAGATAGTTAAAAAATTTTAAGTTATTTTAAAAGTGTTCAATAATATTTTGTATGTTATTTCAGCTGTAGTTTATAAGTCTATTGAATTCATAATGGTAGTCATACTAATGCAGGTTAATCTTTGACTTCAAATGCAATATGATTCACCATATTATATAAATGTAACAATATAACAATGACACCTATTATATATATTTATATATATATATATAATCAGATTCCATGGTTGTAGGTCAATAAAGAGGTGAGGAGTAAAGAGATCTCTAGGATACTAGAGATTGTTTTGTCATGCCAAAAAAAAATGAGATCTACAGCTGAGATGTTCAATATCTAGATATCTGGAACAGTTGATTTAGGAAATGAATGAAAGATGGGAATTGGAAAGAGAATTTAAATCTGTGTAACTTTCCAGGCAGTATTTTAATAAGTATGGAGCTTAAAGAGTATTTTAAGTGTGATTTTCAACAAAACTCTCAGTGGTTGCTTTCAGGATACTGCATCATATCTAAAGATTTATAATGCTATTGTGATGGAGTTCTTCCACTGTTAAGAAGCTAACCTCAAATGTGTCACATATGATAGTTAATTGGCTTGGTTCGTCACTATTCCAAACTACATTGAATGAGTCATTGTAAAAAGTTCCACAGCACACAAGGGTGGTTTAACATTATGGAAAACTGATTCTACAAGTTGGTAAACCCACAGATTTGGTAATACAATCTTAGAAAGGAATGTAATGGTGAGCCCTTCTGACTCCAATTCCTTCAGGAGATTAAGGATGAAGTTTGTAAAATTTATATGAATTGAAGGACATTTGGGTAAATAAATATTTACCTGAATTTCCCTCTTAATCTCTTGTTACATAAGCTTGACTCTTGAAAATGGTATGTGATTTCCAAGTAAGTTTCACTTTATCTAATATTAATAGTATTGTCATTAAACTGTAGTATGTGTTGCAAATTGACGCCTAACATTTGGGTTCCAATGCTCTCCTTGCACTACCTCTGGGTGAGGTGGTTCCTGAAGTTTAATTCCACATGAAGCAGATTTTGCTTACTTTGTTTTGCTTCACAAAGAATTATAACGCTTACACAAGCAATTGTAAGACAGATTTCACTGGAGGCACCTCATTTCCCAAATGAAGCATAATGAAGATTATATAACTGATCAAATAAAAGATTCTAATAACTAACTGGTATGTGACAGTGGATTCAATGGCCAGCACTGGGAGACGGGGATAATCTTTATAATCCAAATTGTAATTTGGAGTATATCTATGAATATGGATAATTGTGATACAAAGTCATGTAGTTCTGCTGACCTTATATACCAGTCAGGCTCCATTGCCATGGTTTTGATATAAAAATGTGATTGTTTCTGGAATGATGATTCTACAATGATTCACAGAATTGTAAACAATATACTGCATATAATGTATCTAATGTGAAATCCTGAACTAATAATATGCATATTTATTTCTAGGTGCGAGAAGAACCCTACTACAGAAAATCAACCATGGATGTTTTTATCAGGATTTTAATAATTCTATGCACAACAATATCAGTTGTCCTTTCCTCAATATCTGTGTGTGATGGTCACTGGCTGCTTGTAGATGGCAAGGTAATTGGACTATGGTATTTCTGCACTTTGAAGGAGAACCACAAGTCTGAATATACCACTGATTTCTGTGCTGCTGAGGTTGATGGTTTATACATTGGATTCATTTTTATAAGAATTATGGTCACTTTTGCTGTAGTGCTGGCCATGTTTGGTCTGGAGATGCTCGTTGTCTCTCAGGTTTACCAAGATGTCTACTCCACCCGCAGATGGGCATTCGGTTCATTTCTGGTTGTATTGGCCTTCTTCATGACATCAGCTGGTGTGCTCAGTTTCGTTATTCACCTGAGGAATTTCCTCACATTCACAGGCTTCAGTTTAACTTTCTGGTGCGAATTTATTGCAACTTTTCTTTTTTTCCTTAATGGAATGAGTGGTCTCCACATTCATAGCATGACATTCTCAGTCAACACAAAGTTCACTCAGTTTGCTTAATGGTTACTCATGCTGTAACTTTTTGGTGCAACTGGCAAAGTATTCTGTGCACATCAAATTCAGGTCTGCCAAGGTTCACTGTTTCATTTAAATATCCCATAGCACACTGACAGTTTTGAAAAGTTTGTACCCTATTTTCTGATGTAATGTGCCCCTTCAGGTTCTTTTTTCGATGTCATTTTTTTAATGGGCTTTGAATAAATTAATAATTTTGTTGCAGACAACATCCAATAAAGCTTATGTCCAATGATTTAGCATCCAAGTTCTGACTATTATTTTGTGAGAGGAGAGTTCGAGCTTAGTTCAACTTGGCCTCATAATCTTAATATGATTAATTTCCTGAACTTTTAGCAATAGTAAGTTTTAAGCAGGAGTGTTATTAGTTCACCCATCTCCCCATTCAACATCCATCCCCAAAGATTCCTTTCACACATCTACCTCAAAATCTAATATGCCTGATATCCCACCCTGAATCCTTTTAATTTCCAGAAACTTGACTAGTTCCTTTTGGAAATACTATACTTCATGATTTTTTCTTCCAACAAGCATAGTTTGCTCCAGGACCTATCATCCTTTCCTTATAAAAACACTTCTTATGCTCTTTTGTTGTCCTTATTTTGAAGCTGCAATACCGTATTCAATCTTGCACTTACCAGAAAATCATATCTAGATCTAAATTTCCACACTTTTCATAATTCAAGTTGTTTCCCCTCCCCCTCATTTTCCTTTTAAATTCTGGAATTAATCTGGTAGCTCGCTGCTACATTTTCTCTAACAACTAAATAACTTGTGGAGTCCTGAAGTGTATTGGTTGGAGCACACGCCTCGCAAGCAAGAGGACCTGGATTCGATTCCTGGGCGCAGCAAAACTTTTTCTTACTCCACACGCCTGTTTACCTAGTAGTAAGTAGGAACCCAGTTGTTAGTTGATTACTGGATTGCTTTTCTGGGGATAATAATCCCTTCAAAAAAATATATATATTTGGGTCACTCAATCCACGACTGTTGTGGGACACTGCTGGTCGCAATCGACTGTCGGGTTTCGCTCACAAAATATACAGTCAATTTACTTTACAGTACATTCTGTACATTCAAATAATCATGGATTAAGTGACCAAATTATTATTATTTTGTAACTGATGGAAATACATCCGACTTGTATACAAAAGAGGTACTTCAGAAAGGAGTTGTGTAGATCACATCTTAGCTTGTCAATGTAGGACAAAGTGGGTACCATAATTCACACCTTTTCACCTTCACTCAAATAATATCCATGCCAAAGGTGTCCTAGTGGTTTCCTTCATTGTCATGTCAATTGAAAGCATGGAAAGTAAACATTATTTACTACAGACACAATTCGCAACATTATGCTTCAAAAGCATTTGCTAAAGAGGCTTTAAAAATGCTGAGGACTTACCTCAGTATTTTTGCCTCAGTATACAATACAAAGTATTGTACTTTGATGAAATGCCAAACAAAATAATAATTTCTAGCTTAATTATTAAAACGTATTTCATACATTGGGTAAAAGCCAATAATGAGTCTTCAGTTATTTTCGGTGTCTTATTCTCAATCTCTTACTTTATGATTTATAGATTTAACACATTTGTGTGCCTCAATAGAAAACAATGGGAGTAAAAGTGGTCATCTACAGAACCTTATATTGCTCTGGCATTGAATATTTGGTACACGCAATAAGCACTCCTCCTGGTATCCATCATAGAAAGGCACCGAGAATTTTTTTCTGTCATTCAGTCCAAACAGATGAGTCAGTTTGGCTTTTAAAGTCATTTTTCAGATGATCCAAATAGCCTATTTAAAGTGCTAACTTTACCAGGAAATTTTGTCTGGAACGACAAGTTAGCAATTTATAAAGTCAAAGCAGTTTCATTATGACAGCAATTCAATAATGTTCAATATGTTTCAAAATGCATTTTGTGTTGCAAATGTACAGAGCAACTTTAGAAGTGAAAACTAGAATGAATACTGTATTTAAGACAATATTTTAAACCTTTGCATTGTGAAGATATATTGTCTGCTGCAGCAATTGATTTCATGCTGAAATTGTTCCATGAACTTCCTGCCTAAAGTCTTACCATTCTGAGGCTCTAACAAAGTTTATTGGTTTGTATTAAAAGTTTTGGTGTATTTGGCAAATGATAGAGGTTCGCAAAGACTGATATTCCTACAACTAGCATATGTCCAAAACAGAATAAATTATCATGACCCCAGTATAGCTAGTTTTATTCAACACACATTGTAAATAAACTTGTGCTTAATTTGTACTTAACTTGCATTTGATTATAACGTGAAAACATCTCTGAAGCGTTTCACAGAGCTTTCTATGAAGTATAGTGACTATATCATTAATAATAATCATTTGATACAGCACCTTATCATGTCTGCGAGACGTCTCAAAACGCTTCACAGAATATTCTGTAAAGTGAATTGACTGTATATTTTGTGGGTGAAACACGGTGGCCAATTACACATAGCAGTGTACCACAAACAGTCATGGATTAAGTGACCAATTTTTTTAAAATAAGAAATTATTACCCCCGGAAAAGTGATCCACAATCGATTAACTGGGTTTTACTTACTTCTAGGTAAACAGAGATGTGTGGAGTAAGGAAACTTGCTCAACATTTATAGGCAAACACAGTAGTCAATTTGTACACAGAGATATCCCACATCCAGCCATAAAGTGAATGTCCAATTATTTATCTGGATGATTGTTTAACAGGACTCTCAGAGAAGTTCCCTTTTCTTACACCATAGTGCCGTGGAATCTGAACAGCAAACAGAACCTCAGTTTAACACCTCCTCCAAAGGACGACATCTTTTGTCGACGACATCCCCCATCTTCACCACAACTGCTGCATTACGTTCAGTTTAGATGATAAGCTTAAGGTTTCGATGTGGGGCTTGAACCCCCAACCTTTCACAGTGAAGCAAGAGTGTTACTAATTGAGCCAGGCTGACAATTGCCATGAAGACTTTAGACACAGTCACTACACTTTACAGTCAAGCCTTTGAAGCGCTTTGAGACTCATGATCTGGAAAGTACTATATTGAATGCAAGTTTTTTTTATTGTTCATGGAAGTTCATGAATGAGATATGTTTACATCAATTAGCTTGGAATAAATCAATTGCTAGACTCTGCTTGTTCAGATTCAGTCAATGTGACACATTATAAAAAGCATGTAACATTTATTTTGCTTATTAGATACATTTACCAGCAATATTGTGATTCTATTTGCAGTAAATATTATCAGTAAATATTTTTGGATAAAAATAGGTTCTACGCTGTTACAGTGGTAGTGGGGTTGAGTTTACATTAGGGTAATGAATGCCTGAAACAGCCTGGTTGTGTTACTATGGCTACAACTCAAGGCAGTACTCTATCAGAAACAGAGAAAATAATCCAGTACTGTTTATGCAGAGATTGGCAATACACAGTAATGCTGTTATAATGAAGGTATGGTATAGCTCCCTCAGCTGATTTGGAATTTTCATACATATCCTTATTTTCATGCATATTCAAATATGACAACAGATAAATTCAATAATAAACCATTGTTAGACTGAGAGATAGCGATAAGTCTCTCCTGATTCGCCAATAACATACTGTTAACAGGTCTCAGTAATACAATGACACTGACACAGCGATACTGTCATCATCACCTTCTATCTTCAACAACTCCATTTCTTACACTGTACAAAACAACACAAAAAGTATGCCTTTCAGAATTAATAAACATGGAGGTTATTTCACCAATAATTTTTAAAATAACTTCTATATGCACAGAACTAATTGACACAGTGCAAACTGCACAACACTTTAAACAGCAAAGATAGATGTACACAGATTACATATTTAAACCTCACTGTATCACATAAATACATAATTTCTAAACAAATCTTGATCAAGTGTATTGTCGTATGGTGACTGCACATCACAAATACCAGTTTATCAAATAGGACATCTCAGAACCTTTTGAAAGTCTCACTGGAGTGGCCTACTTCATATGTCTGAACTAACAGTAGCAGCACAAGACTTGTTTTTTTTCACAGTTTTTAAATAAATCTGGATTATTTTGTTTTATTTTGAAAAGTAGTTGGAACCTGGCATTTCATGTGTTCTCTTAAAAAACACTGGATTCCTGGAGGGTGAATTCTTGCTGTTTCTTGGTGCTGGACCCGGTCAGGAGGGACACCTGGGTTCCACCATTCACCCCATTACTGATTATAGAACTCTGTTGGTTGCGCAAATCAACAGCAAAATACTTCTTTAACCTCCATCGTCTCCATTTTCTTTTAACTTCAGCTCGAACCTAGGTATACAATTGAATGTTATGTGCAGAACCATAATTAAAGAAAAGCTTTTGAGACTGCATTTCACATATAAGTGTGAAGGAATTAAAAAAAACTTACTTCACCATTAAGGAAACAGTAAAGTACTGCCACAACAAGGCCCTGTTGGATAAAACCATTTCATTAATGGTTTGAAAAAATACATTTCGCATAAAATACGTAACAGAAGATTATTTCAGGGCTCACTAAGTCAGTTCAAATTTATAAGTTATTGCACTTGTATCCATGCAAAGTTACCATATAGATATCCAATTAACTGCAGTATTAATGATGCATTATATGACTCATTTACTACATTTTAAAAATAAATAATTCTTATTAAATTGTTATTAAAAATAATTACCTGATATGCACCAAAAGCGAGCTCAAAACATAGTCTCATCTCTATTGCAAGCTGTTTTTTTGCGTCTGGCAAAATTGCTAAAACAACATAGTGGACTCCAAACAATGGTATTAACAAGAGAGTGGATTTTGCAAGTCTCCTGGAAATAATAAATACAATACATAAACAGTTACACATTCTATGTCTATTCTGTTGTATGTAATCACACTTGTTTAACCTTAAAGATTTTTCCTTTTTTTAACATTTTGGAAATTGGATTAACATTACAGTTCTTCAAGCAATTCTATTTGGAATGTGTACACCAGACTGCATGGCATTTTGTCAATTACCAGCCTGTCATAAGTCACTCTTATGATTTACACTGTGAAGCTAAGCACCATTTAAAAAGTAAAAATATCAAGTCCATATTTTATCCATTTCAAATCATGTGAGAGGTTATTTGTATTTGTAGCAACTGCAGAGATCACTTAGAGATTTTTATTAAAATAACTCAACTTTACACCAATACTGATTATTATCCTAAACACATTAGAAGTGTCTTGGGTCCCATTAATAATTTCACAGCCTGTGGTCTTGTGGTGCATCATATTGAGATGAAATGGACTGAAGGGTCTTTCTCATTTGAACCTCTCATCATCAAGTATTTTCTCCTTCCTCTTGTATGCAAGTTGGCTGCCATGTTTGCCTACAAAATAGACAACCTACAGGATTCACAGTAAATTCTGTAAAGTGCTTTGAGATGTCTCGATGATGTGAAAAGGTGCTATATCAAATGCAAAGATTTTATTTTAAAGGGAGTTTAAATGTAGCACGTCACCTGTATTGGCTAAAATCTTTCCCCTTAAGGTCAGTTGTTGTTAGCTTTTTAATTAATATTCCAATGATGCGAACAAAGAGGATTAAGTTGATCTGTAGAACAAGACAAAGGTAAATGTTAAAAGGGGTCAGAATGCATTGAGCAAAGATCATTAACACTTTTATTGGCTGTCTTATCCACCAGTCAAACAGATCTTGAAATAAATAATCTGTCTATAATCAATCTTCATTGAAAATATAAAAATATAATATAAATATAAAAAATTCTAGAAAGATTAAATTTAATACAATTTGCCATCATCTTCCAAAATTTTGGAAAAAGTGTATAATCAATAGTCATAATCAGTCTTATGATTTACACTGTAAAGCACCATTTACCTCTTAAATGAGCATATACAACCAGTTTTTACATTGTTACAGACGCTGATTACAAGTAACTGATATTGACAATTACTGGCCATGGTGAGACATTAGGGCAGAATGTGTCTGAGCTTTTTCCTTCCGTTCTACACCAATATGAGTGCCTATTCATCAGGTCTAAAACAAGTATAATCTACATGATAACACACATTTTCTTCAAACCCTTTCCTAAATGAAAATAACCAAATCTAGCTTTAAATACACACTGGAAATATATATTTTTTAAATCCTGGAAGGTCTCTGGGTGACAAAAAGTGAATGTAATACTTTCATGTCACAATTGATATTTTGTTCAGAGATTTGTTCCCAATTTGCTCCCCTGATTTGCGTCTACTAAGAGCACCATCTTCTGGCCAGATACATGACGATGTGTTTATGGCTGTAATCAATTTGAAACTACTGTACATTTAGCATTACAAAATGTTACATTTGATTTTCTGCCAGTCTGAAACTCATATTTTAAATTAAAGATCTAATTCACCTCCCATCTCAAGTAATTTTCCTATGATTCTAAAATGGCTAAAACGGCATTATTGATCACCATTAAAAAGCCTACCAATCTTTCAGTGGTACAGGATATTAGTGTTCCAATGAGCTTGCCATGCAATGGTACCATGCAAGCTCATATCCATCATTCCCTTGGTATTGAGTTCCCAGTTTGGGCTTTGTCACCAGAGCATCGACAGCAAAGGAAAACTAAGGAGTGAATTAACCCACACTGCTGTTCAGATCTCCTAGCAACTGGACCACGAAAACGTCAGTCAATCACAACTTAGTTAAATGTAGTACTGATCTTAGACATAAAAGATGTATGTACCAGCCTATAGTGAAATGTATTCTCCTACCTCTCCATTATTGTGTTTCCTACTTGAGCTTGTTTTGTCTTTAACCAATGTGTGTTTTTTAATGGAATAGTCATTATCAGACACCAATAAGAAGCAAAAATGAAGCAAGATGAGAATTACATTCAATAATACATATACTAGTTAATATATAAAGCATTTCTATAAATCAAACAATGAGACAATCCACTAATGTTTGGTATGTAGTATGTACATGTAGAGCATGGAATCTGGAGTCCATGTAAAAGCTGTCTCCTATAAACAGTTATTGGGCTTGTACTCTCATGAGGCACACTTTCTATTTGCTACCTAAACATTTAAAGTTATTAGACTACATAATTACACAAAAATTGTACTTTACTATTATTTTATAATTATTTGGAATCATCAAGATTCCATATTTGGAATCATCTTTGATATTTACTTACGAAAATAGATAGAATTACAGGTCCCTTGATGATCCACCAAATCCACTCATCTGAATTAACATCCCAGCACCTGTGGGTTAGACACATCGATGAGAAAGACATTTAATAGATGTTTTATTTAGGAATGTAGGTGGTTATCAATCTGGCTTAAACTTCAACATTTTAACAATATCTCAATGGACAGTTAAAGATCTCAGTCAATTTTCATTTCAATTTCATATATAATAAGAACTTGCTGTGAACTTTGTACTATATTTGTCTGATGACACAATTGCATGTCTAGTTGCAAATACAGTTAATATTTCTATGTATTAGAAATTTTTGCTTCTGCCCGAATGCTTCAGTTTTACTTCTAATATTTCAAGGTTAACCACATGGCCACCCACCGTCCCTGGATGGCCAAATTAGACAACTAAAAAGTTTGAAATAATTTCCTTTCTTTCACATATGTTAGGCATTTAATAGATATCGTTTATCACAGAAGAAGAGCTTACCCAATGTTTTCATGTACCTGCCTTGCAATTGCCCAGGGCATAATAAAAATTGATGGTCCACCTGCAAGAGAGAAAGTAAAGGAAACTGGATTGCGAGATACAGGCAAACAAGATGTTATTTTGTGAAAATAGTTAAGAACTGAACCAAAGGATTTAAAGTGAAACATACCCCATCCTAGAACAATGTACCACCAAAAGTATTTCCGTTCAGAAAAGACAGATACCACCAGGAGTGTGTGGAGATACATTCCTTCAACAAGCAGCCAACTGAAATTAGCCATAATACAGTATTGGAAGAAAACCATAACAACTTTGCATTCGACCTAGGAAACAAAGTGAATATGGTACAAAATCAAATCAAAGATAAAGCTTTCATCCATTTAAATAATCAAGCATCCAATATTCTTTGGCAATCATAATTAATTTACTGTCACTCCGTTCAGAAATAAAAGATAGCTCTTGAATGGTTAGCTTAGTAGGCTTGTGGCTTTACTTAGACTTTTAGTGAAAACATGACAGTTCAAAGTCCTGATCTGCAAGCCAGAACATAAACACGACCCGCCTCATGCCACTGGCATTAAGAACGGGATTGGAGGAGGTTGGTCGACCTCCAGCACATCTGGGTAATTCAAATTTGATACCTAAGGAATGTTTTTCTTTAAAGCAGAAGTTACATAAAACAAAAACTGTGTAGTAATAAATAGCTCTAATAAATAGCCAGAAATATTCAACCAACATGTTCGGTTTCTATGGTTACAATAATGGAACATCAATAATAATATTGTCAACATTATGCTGGTCCAGTAATGGCAGCCTCACTGTCAACAACTCTGTTATCTGATCAATAATCACAAACATAGCAATTGAATATTTCCGATATATATTTTGGCCGGATACACTGTTAGACGATCGCTGCCATTAAGAGCTAATTTATGTTGGGACAAATTGGCTGCCACATTCACCTACAAAATACATGGTCACTACACTTTGCAATATATCCTGTGAAGTACTGTGAGACATCTTTCTGACAAGAAAAGCACTGTATTAAAATGTAAGGATTGTTTACTATTGTCCACATATTATATGGACAATTAGATATTTAGAAAGTAGAATAATTCTAAAGTTTTAAAACATTTCATATAAATAGTTTTCATTTTTAGTCTGTAGGGAAAAGAATTACCGAGTAAGTATTGCAGTGATGACGATCATCATTAGAAAATAACACACTGTCTTTTATGAAGATTGATACTGCACGGAGAATATAGGACATGAACAAGTGCATATGAATGTAATTCCTGGTGCAATGAAGTTTCCTGTAAAATATGCAAAAAAACTTAAGTTATAAAGGTTGGACAATTTTAAATCTCACTTGAAATTAATTTGCTTTATGCTGTTCTTTGTGTCAGTGCCTTTGAAATAGAATGTTGCTAATGTTCTACTCACCGAAAGAAGCCAAGAATTGCTATAGCAATGGACAGGGATATGAAAGAAAGGCTGTATCCTATGGTATACATCATCTTCACGTTCACATAGTATGATGTCTTTAAAAAGATACAAATAGATACCATTTTAAAAGGCAAAGTGTTAAATTAAATCTACTGTGTTGAAAACAAAACAATTTCCAGAAAGTCAATTGAAATGTCAGTAATAACATTTCCACCGTACCCTATTAATTCAGATACACAAAATTCTAATGTGAATTAATTTTATGCTTTCTATAGACTTACTTCGGCAACATTTGTTGGATCATTGACATCAAATCCACATGCAATTCCATACACAGGGAATGGCTCGGACCAGCCCTCACTAGTGCAGTTTCGGTAAACAAAACCTAACACAATAAAATTTGCCGTCATTAAAACAGTGAAGTATACACTTCTAAGAGTGTAAAATATAGTTTTGTAAATACATATTGCTACAAGTACCAGTTTGTGGAACACAATCACTGTACTGAATAATAAAAAAGTAATCCTTCCATTTTGATATAGCATCTATAATATCAAAACCTCTCAATTGCTATCAAGTGCAGTGAGCGTGTCTTTATAGTCAAACTGAACAATCAATTTCCACAGCAAGGCCTTACAAAGTTCTGAAGTGATTTAACCAATGTATCAGGAGTTTTTGTCCTGGACATTGGGAGAAACTTTTATCAAATATGTCACAGGATCTTTACATCCACCACAACAGGTAGAGGGGGCGAGATTTAAAGTTTCATCTGAAGAATGCCATCTATGACAAACAGCTTCTCCCAGCAAGGCACTGGAGTCTCAGCCTAGATTGTGAACTCAAAGTCCTGACAGGAAGCTTGTTTCTTCAAAGGCGAGAATGCTACCAACTGAGTCAACCTGGCACAGTTGACAAACTAAATGTTCACAAACAGAAAGAAGGACCAGTCAAATATATACAAAACACTTTCCCAAATATATTATTATATTATCATTATATATTTATGAACTATAATAATAGCACTTAATACTTCTTTTTCTTCTGAACATTGAAACGTAATGCAGAATAATGCAGAAATAATTTACAGAAAATTCTGTGAAGTAATTTTAGATATTTCAATATGATAAGGGCTCTGCATCAGATGCAAGGATTATTATAATAGAAGATCTTCTTATATTACATCATATAGCTTTGCTGTTGTTGCTGTTGCATAATATGCCTGATGCTTACTTGCATTGACTCAAAATTTGTTGAGAAAGCTAACTGATTAAGCTGTTTGTCAGTTTGTTTTCTAAAACCCTAAAATTTGGATGTGAAATTATTTATGTTAAAACTGAAAGGCGACATGTTTATTAGTTCTTAGAATTTGTATAAAGAAAATAATCCTTAATAATCCCTGCATTTGACATAGCGCTTTTCACGTGGGGAGGACGTCCCAAAGCGCTTTACAGAATATACTGTAAGGTGAATTGACTGTATATTTGCGGGCGAACGCGGCAGCCAATTGCGCACAGCAATGTCCCACAAACAGTCGTAGATTGAAAATGACCAATTTATTATTGTTTTTGGAGGGATTATTATTAGGCGTGTGGAGTAAGGAAACTTGCCCAAGGTTTCGCATTCTGCCTGGAATTGAACTCAGGTCTCTCGCTTGCAAAGCGAGTACTCTAACCACTGAGCTACAGGTCTTACATGTGGAGTCTTACAGTTAAGGTCTGTGCCTAATAGTTACTTTATTAAGGGTTATATGAACAGAAATAATAGCTATGTTTTTGAGTCAGGTTCCTGATTGAAGTGGAATTTGTTTAACACATTCTACTTTCTATTCATTCAATACTGACAGTGCTGACTATACTCTTATTATAAAGTAAAATATGGTAAATATTAACCAACAGAATAAAACTCACCAAACATACTAAAAACATGTCTGACAAATAAGTAATCAACAAAATGGTAATGTTATGAAGTTTATGCTCTGCATCACACTCAGCTAACGCAACTGATGTAAACAAGTCTAGTTCTGATATAGGCATGTCAAATTGTAATTGAAGATAAGGCTTATTTTTAATCTAGCACATTATTTTGAAAATTATTTTAATTTACCTTCTTTACCGATCAGAACATAGAACAATTTAGGACAAGATACAGCAACAGTTTGTCCTAGTGAAGAAGAGGGCCAGCAAGTCAGGTTATCCCACATTCCAATACAGCCTGTAGCAAAACAAAAGCAGCAACAATCAGCAGTCAATTGTTTACAAGAAATACATAAAATACAATACAAAATGACATTTGTATAAAGTGCCTTTCACATCGGGAGAAATGTGCTGAGTTAAGTATCACTCACTCTACAATATATCCTGTGAAATGTTTTAGGACAATCATCTCACTTGAAAGGTGCAATACCAAGTGCAATGAGTATTATCATTATTGCTGTTTTCCAGCGGCTGGAATATAAATATACCATTAACTTCCTCCCTTCACCTCTTACCAATAAACAGTTCCTGTGCACCAACTAGCTCACTTTACATTTAAACACCCAATGTTATTAAATTCCCATCATTCAATCCACGTTAGATTCACTACCGTATTATACAATACAATTCAGTAATTTTTTTACAAATTATGACAACTTATTTATCCCTAATCTAACAAGCTACCTCAGCACACACACACACCACACACACATCACCATCTCATGGTCACTTTTCGGCATGTGTTTCTACAATAAGCTCCATTTGTCACAATTGCCAGAGTCACACTGAACTGGTAGTTGTAACTGGGAACTGAATAGAGATAACTGAATATTATTCTTCACATACCTGTTAATGTCACTGATATCTTATTTTTAATTATGTTTTCGCTACATCACATTATCAATCATACATCCATTGATTTCACTGTACATGGCAGATTGGGTACAATCTTATTGTATTGAGAGTCTTGTAGCTCGTGGAGTCCTATAGTTCAGTGGTTAGAGCACTCGCCCCACAAGCAAGAGACCTGAGTTCTATTCCTGGGCAGGGCGAAATGTTGGGTAAGTTTCCTTATTCCACATGCCTCTGTTTACCTAGCAATAAGTAGGAACCCGATTGTTAGTCGATTGACAGATCGCTTTTCCAGGGATAATAATCCCTCCAAAAAAACAGTAATAATTTGGTCTCTCAATCCAAGAATGTTTCTGGGACACTGCTGTGCGCAATTGGCTTCCGCGTTCACCCAGAAAAAAAAATAGTCAATTCTCTTTTCAGTATATTCTGTGAAGCGCATTAAGACGTCTAGAAGACATGAAAAATGCTATATCAAATGCAAGGATTATTATTATATTATTCTATACTGTATTTGCAATTGGCTTTGATAATGACTAGCTCTTGGGGCTAGTACATGTGCTTGGACATTTTGAACAATTTACACGTATAACATCTTTCCTGTAGCATAATATCTCAAAACTCATCGCAAAAATGTATTACAGTCCTTCTGACTTTCACTGAAATAATTCTCCAAAATTTATCAATAAACTGTACAGATTCCAATATTGTTTCCTGTTGTGTCAGTGCCTGTTCTGTTTTTTCGGCCCCATTCCTATAACATCCCAAGCTGTCACAATATATAGGTTGTCACCTGAGCCATATGTGGAGTCCTGTAGCTCAGGGGTTAGAGCACTCGCTTTGCAAGTGAGAGACCTGAGTTCAATTCCAGGCAGGGCAAAACCTTGGGCAAGTTTCCTTACTCCACACACCTAATAATAATCCCTCCAAAAAACAAAAACAATAATAAATCGGTCATTTTCAATCTACGACTGTTTGTGGGACATTGCTGTGCGCAATTGGCTGCCGCGTTCGCCCACAAATATACAGTCAATTCACTTTACAGTGTGTTCTGTGAAGCGCTTTGGGACATCCTCCCGACGTGAAAAGCGCTATATCAAATGCAAGGATTATTATTATTATTATTATATGGGGATTAGGTAGGTCAATGTGACAGGAAGCAGGATTGCATACTGGAATGTTGAAAAATATCTCTAGATTCAGTCTTAGTTTGTGTGTGATGTTCTACAATTCGGAGTTACTTTCCATGCTACTTTGACCACAGGTCGACCAGATGGTAGTGGTGAATCTCAGTGGGATGCACAGGTTTTGGGTTGCAAAGGACACATTTCAGACCAGACATCAGGAAGTATTTCTTACCCAGAGAGCAATGAACAACTCAACAGGTAACTAGAAAGGATGGCTGAGGCTAGGATGCTAGACTCATTTAAAAAACAGCTTGATGACTTGATCACTCTGAGGATGGTAGAATGATACATTCCAAAGGATAAGATCAAATTCTTCATCCCAACTTTGCTTCTTTTAATCTTGTATTGTTTTGTAAATTTCCTCCTATTTTAACGCATTAAAGCTGTGTGAGGCTGCTTCACAAATCAATCCTCATTTACTATCAGACAGGATTTGCCCAGCTTACTGTTTATGTTTTCATTTCACATTAATAAAAAGTTCCCCTCTTCCGATTTTCTTCTTCCTCTCCTGACTGTGCTAAGATAAGATTTCATGGACACCTTCACCTTCACCAGTCACCGGACACCCGAAGGCAATGAGCCCAACGAAGCAACCCTACTGTTGCAAACTTCTAGTCCTCTGGCTCCACAGTGTCCAAAGAGGATTGAAAGATTGTGGCCAGAGCCTCTGCTATTTCCACCCTTGTTTCCCTCAGTAACCCAGGATGCATCCTGTCCAGACCAGGTGACTTCTCTATGTTGAGCACTGACAGCCTTTTTAGTACCTCCTCTCTGTTGATTTTTATCATATCTAATTTCTGTTCACACACCTGTGATATTGTGGCATTGGTTGCTCTGGAACTCTATCCCCCAGTGCCTTTGCCTTGCTTCCTCCCTTTCCTCCTCCAAGGCCGGTCTCAAGACCTTTCTCTTCAACCATGCCTTCAGCTCCCCTCTTGACTCTCTATCCCCTCCTCGCTCCCTCCCTTCCCTCCCCTCACCCTGACCATTTCCCCCCAATGCTCGGGTCCTGACCCAACTGCACAGCGCGTTGGGACATCCTGCCGACATGAAAGGCGCTCTATAAATGGAATCTTGCTGTTGTTGTTGTTTTGTGAAGACAGTCGCAAAGTACTTATTTAGTACATCAGCCTCAACAAGAAGATTTCCACTTGGGTCCCTAATTGGACCCACCCTACCTTTCACTAATCTTTTACTCTTGATACGCTTATAAAATACCTTAGGGTTCCCTTGTATGTTTCCTGCTAATCTTTTCTCATACAATCTCTCCGCCCTTTTTATTTTCCTTTTCACTTCTCCTCTGTACTTCCTATATTCTATTTGATTATCCTGTGTGTTTTCGACCTGGTTTTGGACCAGGCATATTTGTCATACACCTCCTTTTCTGTTTTATTTTAATCCCAATTTCCTTATCATCCAGGGAGGTTTGACTGTCCTACCTTTCCCCTTTGTGGAAAAGTATGTGCTCTGTCCCCGAACTATCTCCTCCTTGAAGGCTGTTCATTTGCTCTCTTACCTGCCAATCTTTCTTTCCAATCTATCTTGGCCAGGTCCCTTTTTAGCTCACTGAAATTAGCCCGCTTACAATTGAGGGTCTTTACCTTTGATTGATTGTTGTCCTTCCAATACCTATTCTAAACCTAATGATATTGTGATCACTGTTATCTGGATGCTCTCCTACTGAAACCTGCTCCACTTGCCCCACTTCATTTCCCAGAACTAAATCCAGCACTGCTTCCTTCCTCATTGGGTTGGAAACATGCTGTTCCAGAAAGTTTTCCTGCACACATTTCAGGAATTCCTCCCCTTCCTACCCTTTACACTGTGTGTTTCCCAGTCTATGTTCGGATAATTGAAGTCCCCCATTATCAATACTCTATTGGTTTTGCATCTCTCCAAAATCTGCTTGCAGATTTGCTCATCTATCTCCTTCCCACTATTTGGAGGTCTATAGTAAATGCCTAACAGAGTAACAGCTCCTTTTCTGTTTCGTAACTCTAACCAAATCGATTCAGTTTTTGGACCCTCTAACACATCGTCCTTTTCCAGGACCGTGACCGTATCTCTCACGAGTATTGTCACCCCTCCTCCTTTTTTGCCTTCCCTATCCCTCCTGAATAGGTTGTAACCAGGAATATTCAGCTCCCATTTCCTGTCCTTGTTTGAGCCAAGTCTCTGTAATTGCCACTACATCATAACCATATGTGGCAACTTGAGCCTGCAGCTCACCAAGCTTATTGGTCACGCTTCGTGCATTTACGCACAAGCACTTCAAGACTGTTAACTACGGTAAATTTGGCTGAACTGTTAATCGGTAAACCCACGGACATACAGTGGGAAGTATTCAATGAAGAATTTGGTACAATACAAAACTAGTACATACCCGTAAAACACAAAAGCGCCACTTGTGTAGTTCAACAACTATGATTAACAAATTAGATAAGAGGCAGCAACAAAATTAAAAGAAAAGGCTTATACTAATGCAAGAAAAAGTGGAAATCCAGCAGACTGGGAGACTTATAAAAAGTAAAAACGAGATACAAAGAAAATAATAAGAGGTGCAAAAAGGGAATTAAAGAAAAAACTTGCTAGGGAGATCAGTTTTTATAAATATATTAAGAGAAAGATTTAAAGGGGAATTAAAGAAAATGGTAAAGAGCTATTAAAGACAGATGTAGGTGAAATTATAATAGAAAATAAGTAAATGGCAAGCTTGTTGAATGAATACTCTGCTTCCATTTTCACAGAGAGAAAGAGGACAGAATACAGGCGGTAAGTAGGGAACCTGAAAATAAGCCAATGAGAAGTACTAAATGGATTTAATATAATTTTTTAAGATGGTAATAAGGAAAATAATGGGACTAAAGATAGACAAATCTCCAGGGCTTGATAGATTCCACCCCAGGATATTAAAAGAAGTAAGAGAAGAAATTGCAGATGTGTTAGTCATAATTTTCAAAAGCTCTCTATATTTGGGAATTGTGCTCTTTGATTGGAAAATTGCAAATGCAAATCCATTATTTAAGAAGAGAGGGAGGGAGAATCCAGGTAACTGCAGACCTGTCATCTTAACTTCAGTTGTGGGGAAATTACTGGAATCTCTCATCAGGGATAGAGTGACTGAGCACTTGGATAAGCTAATTGAGCTAATCAAAGAGAGTCAGCATGGATTTGTGAAAGGTAGATCATGCCAGACAAA